GTTTTTGCTACTGCCAGCTATTTTATTATAACATCCACGATGATGGAGAGGTACATCACACACCAGATGCATTTTGTATAAATATGTTCATTTCGGGTGTACAGCAGTTTAATTAACTTTGGCTTTAAGCTATATTTGTGGATTGGTAGCAGTATCAGCAAATACTTTTTTTTTTTTTCATGTTTTTCTAAAGCAGATATTTTAAAGTATTCCAGATTTCTCTGTTTCTCGCTGTAAATGAAAAGTGCTGATCAATCTATAGCCTGCATGCTTGTATGGTGTTGGTGACTGATATAAGGAACAAACCATTAGGATAATGTAGAAGTAGTGCCTTGGCTTGTGCCAAATTTTCCCTGTTATATCTTTTCTCTTTCTTTTTTTAAATTGAAGCACTACACATACTGAGACACCTCAATCTCTAATCCATATAGTTGAATCACAAACCATGGAATCTGTAGATTATTTGGTGTGTAGAAGCCACCAACCTAAAATCCAGATTTCCCAGTTTGTAATATTATTCTGCATTTTAAAGAGAATAAAAAGTTGTTGTAAATGTATGCTTGTATTACAGGGGTTCTTATGTTGGAATAAATGCAAAGGATGGTTAAAGGTTTAATAAATCTGCTTTACAATGTCCGCTGCTTTTATGTTTGATCTTCCCAAAAAACTGTGTCTCTAGTACCAGCTTTTCAGATCTTTACAATTTGTTTATATGAAGCTAACATATTGGTGGACATGGTAAACCAAGGCATGAAAGATTTTATAACTTAGCTGGAGCTATAAAGATCTCTTCCAGGGTTTGAGAACCCTTCATGACCACCTGGACTAAACAACCAATATCTACAAGATGTGTTTCCCTGTGCGGAAGAGAGGCAGCGGCGGGGTATTTATAAATTTATAGGGAATCAGGATTGTCGCTGGCGTAAATACAGGCTTTGCACAATGGACCTTGAAACCAAGCAACAAAATGTGGTTTGAAATGGTCAAAAACACCTACAGTAATAAGCTAGTATAAAAAAAAACATTTTCGGGAAAGCTTTGAAAAAAGTGATGTACTGCCTAAAAAAATTATTTGCTCTGAATTAATGGTAAGGAAACTGAAATCTCTCTAGATTTTGAAAAAGAGATTTTATTTATTACATTTGGTCTGACTTCTGGAACGCTCTTGTTGTGTCATGTCTGTGTCCAAAGAAGTCTAGGGGATCCACAGACACAGTGAGTTGCTAAACAGAGAGGTGTTTGGAGTATAATCCATGCGTTAGTAACAGAACCTTGGTGATGAGGGCAAATCAGAAGGTTATACTTTGCATAATTGGACTCTTGAGAGAAATTTGAAACAGCATGTGTTCTACTTAATATATCAGCATATACACCTCTCCTTCATATTTTGTTTGTTTTAAGCCACATAAAATCCTGAGGTTGATACGCAGCTAGAAACTGATAATGCCCACGTCTGCTGATAGGCCTCTCAGGCATTGTATTTTGGGATGAGGACAGGGGAATTGCATATTTTATTTTCTCTGGGGGTACAGAAACAGTTGCCATGCTCATGGTGGTGAATGAGTGCACTTTTCCTGTTTTTATTAATTCCCCTTCTTATATTTCCAGGAGTGTGTGTGTGTGTGTGTGTGTGTGTGTGTATATAATGTTTGTTTTTTAAGAACAGTGGTTCTCGTTCTATGAGGCTGGCCACGCACATGGCCTTGTATACAAGGCAATAAGGCCTCAAAGGCTTTTAATTTCAAAACCGACCAATTTTTCCCTCCTTTTGTTACTTGGTTTTGCTAAAATTACATGTAATTGCGTGGGGGCGTGTGGAAATCCAGGGGGGGACTTCCGCCGCTTCGGCAGCGCCGATCGCTGTCTGTTTCCTCCACCCGCTTCTTGGAGCGGCACCGCAGCCTCCGACGGCCGGGCCGCTTCTCCCTCGGCCCTGGCCACGCCTCCTCGCACACCCGGCAGCGCGCCGCTAATGGGGCCTGAAAGCGAGCTGCCGGGTGTACGAGGAGGCGTGGCCAGGGCCGAGGGAGAAGCGGCCCGGCCGTCGGAGGCTGCGGTGCCGCTCCAAGAAGCGGGTGGAGGAAACAGACAGCGATCGGCGCTGCTGAAGCGGCGGAAGTCCCCCCCTTCCCCCCATGGATTTCCACTCGCCCCCACGCAATTTTCACTCGCCAATTGCGAGGGGGCGAGTGGAAATTTTGAGCCCTGGTCTATAGAATGTGTAACAATTAGATTTTGCTAACCCTTGCATTCATTTTATGTTTTTTTTTTACTGGTAACCTATAAAATAGGTGAGACCCAAGTGTCATTTGTGACAAGTGAGGCCTTGGTGAAAGAAGTTTGATAGGTGCTTACATCAACTCTGACATGTACGTGGATAAAGATGATAAATGGTATCATTTTTATTTAAGTGCAGATTTACCATCATTTATAATTAACGCATAAATTACTTCTGGTCATTTTCAAAGCAGGAGATATTTAATATCAAAATGGTTATTCCAAAGGGGGGCACAGTTTTTCTTCTGACACACAGCTGACCTACTTGTTCCATTATCCCAGAATACAAAAATCCCATATAATGTTGCTTCTGTCATCACTGGTAGCTTATGCAGAGCAATATACTGTGCATTAAGTGACACGCAGTAGATGTCAGATATCTGTTTGCCTACCGCGGTCTGTAGAATTATCTCAATAGGGTGTTACTTATTCAACACAAGATTAGCATGTAGCTGCATCTGGAAAAGCAATCCTCAGCTTGGTGGTCAATTTTATAGCTACAGTTTCAGCATTTCTCCAGCACAGATGTCTACTGCTCAACTAATAATATGTGAATTGCATAAACTGGAACGCATGTATATTTTGTATTGTAAAAAGGTCTAGCTTTGATATTTTATATATTTTGCTTACATTAATCATATGCTCTTTATGATTCACAGGCAATAATAAATAGCACCATCAGTCCCAACATGACATTCACTAAAACATCCCAGAAGTTTGGCCAGTGGGCAGACAGCAGGGCAAATACAGTGTATGGCCTGGGCTTCTCCTCTGAGCATCATCTCACAAAAGTGAGTAAACTGTCCTTGAACCTTGTGTGATTGAATGTAATTATAATAATGGTTCATTTGGAAAAAAAACAAAAAGTAAAACGTTGAAACAAAAACAGTGTGATTCCTATGAGAATCATCAAAGCATGATGATGAAAGTAAGAAACTTAATGCCATGAAGGAGACATGCTTTTTTATTTGTCCTTCATTGAAGGTGTATTTTGTCATATATTAAATGGCTACTTTGTTCTTTTTTATCCTTCCATACTGTTGGCCTGTTACTAGAACATAAACAATAGGCTGCGTGGAAGTGATAAGGTTGAATATGTACTAGGAGAGGAACCTACACTACTTATGTATGTGACACCAACCTTTACCACAGTCTAATCTACAAACAATGGCCAGTCTAAGAGGAACAAACGGTACATGACTTTATATCAACCTTACGTGACTTAATACGTACCTTATAAAATACCTCAAAACCTTCAGGATTAAAAATGTTATAAAGCATTTTGTTTTGACAAGCCTGTGGCCGCACAGTCACTGATGTTGCAGTCATTGGGGAGCTTGGCATTTGCCAAGGCTTGATAGGTGAACATTTATGCTCATGGGACCCCATGTATCAAAGTAATTAAAAGAAGAATTGTGTGTGTTGCCTATTGTAACCAGTTCTCCTTTCATCAAAGAGAACTGCTTACTTTAGGCAACACAGAAAGTTCTTCTTTCAGTTGGGTCCTAAAATGTTGAAGATGTTAAAGCATTTTGTTTTTGTCAATTTATAATTTTGCTCTAATTCTCTATTAATATAAGATAAACAGGTTAAATTGTGAAAGCCTTAAGGCTGGTCTTTTGCCAGGAGCAGGGGCCACATTAAGCAGCTCATCGATATCACTTTGAGACCAAGCTCTTCTACAATCTAATCTACAGTATATACTGTTACCATTTACAAAGTGGTGGTGGTGGTGGTGGTTGTTGACACTTTTATACAAGACTGTACAGTAATAGTGATTAATGTATCAAAGATAGCTGTTTTGATCATTCTTAAAGGAGAACTATGGGGTTCTATATTTTCTTGATTAATGCATTCCTTAGGCTAAATAAGTAAATTATGTAATTTACTCTAATTAGCCAAAATGCACAGTAAGGCTGTAAACCCTTATTTAAGGTGGTGGGCGGGGCTAAGTGCCGCAATGAGGAGACATTCCTCATATACACCATTTACCATATATGGACGTTCTCATTGGTAGTAAATGCTGAAGAGAGAGAGAGGGCTCCTTCCCCTCTGTCATCAGCGATCCACGATCTTTTTATTATGTCAGTGTCACACAAGGCAGGGAGAGAGAGAGAGGGGGGAAGGAGCCCGGCTGGCACACGGGGACGCGCAGGTAAGGAGAGAGCTGCTGCGCATGTCCATATATTCGTGGACGCGCAGCAGCTCTCAAGAATCACTGTCAGTCACAGTGAGGAAGATCAGTGGGGAGGATCCCGTCAGACACGTCGGGATGTCTCCTCATTGCGGCGCTTAGCCCCGCCCACCACCTTAAATAAGGGTTTACAGCCTTACTGTGCATTTTGGCTAATTAGAGTAAATTACATAATTTACTTATTTAGCCTAAGGAATGCATTAATCAAGAAAAGATAGAACCCCATAGTTCTCCTTTAAAGTGAGTTTGTTCTTTGCCTATATCACCTCTACAGCTGCTGATACTTACCTTTCCTCCACTCCCCTCGCTCTGCATGAAGAGAAGAAGTCATTTATAGGCTACTTGAAGCGTATATGGGCTGAGGACTCTCTCCCTGGCCCCATGTGACATTGCTAAGTGCCTGAGCAGCCAATACCCAAACATAGCACTGTCATGTGGTGAGGAGGGTAGTGAGTCTCGCATGCTCCTCCATATCTGGAAGAAACAAAAAAAAAAAAAAAGTTTCTAGCACTCACATAAAATGGAAAAAAACAGACTTTTTGTCTGTTTGCTTTTAGAGAGATTTCCCCTCACTTCCTGTCCTAGGGACAACCATTTCTCAGATGGGAAGGTAAGGAATCTCGCTAACTGAGCCTCCGACTGCAGTAAAACTTGCCATGAGTTCTAATACTTTCCCACTCTAGCCACCTAAACCGTCTGGCTATTATACAGTTTAAGTTGCCTAACTACATGTTGAATAAGTACATTTTTTTTTTTTTTAGACAATTTAAACACTTCCTTATAGCATGCTGAAGCTCACCTTATTTATTGGGTTTTTTTTTCACTTGGTGTTGAGATGTTTGTCATAAAATGTTCCAAAATTAGAAATGTCATCTCAACCAATTTTATTTTTTGTATTTCCTTCCCAACTCAGTTCAATGAAAGTATAAGCTGCATGGTACACAGCCTGTACTTCATTTCTAGCAATTTCATGTTATGTTGTAGAATTACAGTAAAGAATATGATGTGTTTATGGATACACAGCTTGTAATAAACATAGCTTACTTTTTTCCATATTAACTTTTTATTGTGTAAGCATGGCTCACACATAGCATTTTGGAGATGTTCCTCTGCATTCTGGATATTCCAGTGCCCAGTGTATTGTGTCTGAGGGATCAAATGAGTACAACACCATGCAAATGTCTACCAATCACTTACTACTTACTGAAAGCAAAATATTTTTATCAAAAATATAATGTATGATTACTACACAAGTACCCCAAACTACCTCCCCCCAAGACACACACACTAGCTTGCTAAGATGCTGCCCATCTAAATGTATGATGAAGTTCAGTGTTTATTATTATACTAATGAGGCTGATCGTGTAATTACTGCAGACCTACCGTTCCACTCAACATTGGCAAGTGTGCTGGCATGGCCAAATTGACCATTACAGAAGGCTTCTACCTATAGGAAACAGGGGCAAAAAAGCAGCGTTTCCCTTTGTACTGATTGACCACACCATTTTCCCATCAATAAAAGTACAGTCATCTCATACTCATTTGAATATGGTTACAATATTGTACCAATATTCTAAACCAGGTTAGGACCAGTAAGATGACTCAAGCTGTATGAACAGATAGTGTCTGGAGAAGCAGAACTGTAAATCATACTGGATAGACAATGATCAAATTGCCACGTATATAATGAATTGATTTGGGTTGACCTGTTGACATTTATAGTACACTGGCAGAGGGAAACAAAGGGGAGTGCCCAAAATTTGTATGACAATGACACACCATTTCACGGTGTCCGAGTAGTGTGCCTTTCTCTAATATATTTGAGTTCTTGAAGCTGTGAAGTAGGTCCACAAAACATGGGCACCAGCACTCCGGGGGTTCAGGACCTGTTGCGGAGGATATGACCTGCACATCATTTATGTTCGATCCAACATAAGGTCTTTCCCGGTACATTTTAATTACTTGGCACGTGTCACATGCCCTTCACCTGCGAATTTAGTTGGTCTGCATAGCATTGGAATGGTGACTGCAGGTTCAGTGTATGCACATCTACAGGCACCATAAATCCCCCTGCTGGTCTCTTTTGGACTATTGAAGAACCAACCATGTGGGTAACCTCCTTTATGGGCCTGTTTCCTCCTGAAAGCCTACTAAGTACTCCTACCTCCTCTTTTTCTATTTACATGGCAAAACAAAATCTCACGGCAAGCCTGATTTCAACTCTAAACTCTTTTATGATAACTCAATATAAAAGTTGCATTTTAGGTAATTTACAGTAGTTAAAAATGGGTTTTGAATATTTGATTGTCTTCGCTACACCTTGCTGACTGACAACTATCTAACACAGCTCTATATAGATGGACCAATTGCCTAACATGGGCTGAACTTTACCGGAGTTAAAAATGTTCTGTCTGTACTGAAAGAACCAACAATACATATGAAGTACTGTATTTTGCGGTCTATAAGACGCTCCGGACGATAGGACGCATGGCTTCTGTGACAGAAATTCTATGACAGAAATTCTGTCACAGAAGCTGCAGTTAGTGACTGCTGAGACAGGTGGCGCTGTCTCAGTAATCACACAGAGCAGACGAAGAACGCCGTTCTTCGTCTGCTCTATGGTGAGCTCCTATCGTGACGGGTCACAGTCCCGCAGAGGAACGGGGGACCCAGAAAACCTCGGCGGGGGGCGGACACTATCGCCGATGCCGCCGCCGCTCGATTTAATACAAGGGATCTACTTGGATCGCTTGTATTAAACGAACAGCGGCTCCCACTGTACATTCAGCTCTGCTTGTCAGGAGCAGGGCTGAATGTACAAAAAGAAACTACTCGCCCGGCGCCCGAAACTGCATGTCCCGGGTGTCGGGCGATAGGTATTCGCTCCATAAGACGCAGGCACATTTTCCCCCTCCTTTTGGGGGAAAAAAAGTGCGTCTTATGGAGCGAAAAATACGGTGATACAGGTGAAACTCGAATAGTTAGAATATCGCGCAAAGTTCATTTATTTCACTAATGCAACTTAAAAGGTGAAACTAATATATGAGATAGACTCATTACATGCAAAGCAAGATAATTCAAGCCGTGATTTGTCATAATTGTGATGATTATGGCTTACAGCTCATGAAAACCCCAAGAACCTCAAATCCACAACCTCAAAAAAGTAGATTATTACATGCAATCAATAAAACAAGGATTGTACATAGAACAATATCGGACCTCTGAAAAGTACAAGCATGCATATGTGCTCAGTACTTGGTTTGGGCCCCTTTTGCAGCACTTACTGCAATTACTTTTTTACGATATTCTAATTATTCGAGTTTCACCTGTATATGTTATAAATATGTCAATATGTTGTCCTTTTAGATACAAATATTGCTTAATGAAGCTCTTTATTATGACATTGTGCCAAGTATGAGGGCAGATTGATAAAGTTAACCCAAGAACAAAAAGTATTATATTGCAGTTTTCCAGTCCTTGGATGCCGTAGTTGCATTCATTTTCTTCTTTTAGGCTAAGAACATTTTCTGCAAATATAGAAATGCCGTTTGACCCTGTCGGAAGTCTTGTGTTCTCTTAACTTCCTGTGCACTCAACTGAAATCTCAAACCATTTTTGGCTTTCCCAGCTATTTTCTGTGAACCCCAGAACACCTCCTCGTCTATGTAATGGAGACAAGGAGAGGGAGATGAGATGAATATGTTGCAATCATTTTTTTGTTTTTCGATGCTCTTTAGGTATATTTATAGGCAAGTAAAACCTTTGTGTCATGCTGCTCAAATGCTGAACATATATAGGTAATTTTAGTTTTCTAAGCTCGATTAGTGCAGCACACATAACCTAAGCCATCAGTATAGATATCAACCTCCCTGGGATGTGCCAGGTAAATAGCCTAAATGGTATGGATATTATTATATTACTCATGGTAGAATCTTAATAGATTACCAAGCTGTCTTTTTATGCACTTTGTATTATAACAGGTAAGATGGTGAAACCTGGATGTTTTTTTTTTATTAACTTCCTCTTTCTCTAGTAGTTTCTTACAGTGGCATCAAGACCACTTTCTTGGGGAAAATAATATTACATACAATGCAATAAAACATGTATACAGCCCACACATTTATTTTGTCCATGCTGCAACATTGTAAAATGACCCCTCTTCTGTTTATTGCATAATTATCATAGTTTGTTGGATATTAACTATGTATTTTTCCTAATGCAGTTTGCAGAAAAATTTCAGGAATTTAAAGAAGCTGCTCGATTAGCAAAGGAGAAATCCCAAGAAAAAATGGAACTGACTAGTACGCCTTCACAGGTAATGCCTTGCCATCTGTGTTTTTTTTTGCAGGCTTCAATACGTGCACTAATAAGGCCCCATGCACACTACCCAGAAAAACGTTGAGTTTAGGTGCTTTTGGAGCTCCTTTCTAAATGCATTTGGTATGGTATCAAAGGATTCTCTGTGCCAGTCAATGGTGGGCGCAAGATTCAGGAGGTCTGGGAAGGAGGGAAAGGAGGTTGTGTGATGGCTCTTGGATTGTGGTATTCTATGTTTAGACTCTGGTTGCACCTGGCAACGGGAGAAACTAGTTGGTACAAAGAAATTATATTTATACTGTCAGAAAAAGAGTCTGAGGCCTGGTTCATAAAGTGTTTCAGCATTCACCGATGACCGTGCCTAAGGTTTAGGTCTTAAGACAGACATGGGTCCGAACATCATTTGTGTTTGTTTTGCTGTAACTCTAAACTCTAGATTATTCCTTCTTAAACTCTAACCATTAGATTATTTCTTAGTCTCTCACTAGCCTAGTTCATTTGACTGAAGTTCATTTACACCTGACATCTGTCCATTTCCTGTAGAATAAGAACTTGATTGTAATCCAGCTTCTAGTACACAGGTGTCCAAATTGGCTGGGCAGAGCTGTAGTCGCAGCTGGCAATGGCTTGGTCATGTCCACCGAGAGGTGAAAGAGATTGAGAGCCTGCTGACTCAAATTTCTAATCCGTTTAGAGGTTGGTTCCGTTTATTATAGTCCTCATGTTTAAGCTGAACATTTTATTCATGCTTGGCACTTACATTATATTATTGAAATGGAGCCCACAGTTTTATTATTTATGGCTTACTGATTTATTCTGTGACCGTAGCTGTTTGCAAGGTGACACAATGGAGAATGTGTCATCTGGTGTTATTGTAAGATGAATTTTTAGATTTTATTCAATTCCTCTATAGGTTGCTACACATAGTGTACTGACAGACAATGTTTTCAAATCCTTTCAGTAAGTTGACACTGTTTATCGATCAGTCCGGATATTTCAATTTTGGTTAGACACCGGCAGCTTATATCATCCACTGGAATCTCTTGAGGATTTTGGTCGTGAATCTCTATAGTTCTTTTCCTGGATTTGCCTACCTACTGTGGCATATCTCTCAACTTTCCCTCATTTGCAACCAAAACACCTTGTGTCCCTATTTTCTTCACCCTTTCCCCTCTTTTTGTTCTAAGGTATTTTAACTTAAAAAATTGTTATACTACAACAAATCTTATATCCAAACTTTAAATTATTGCTTCTGACAATTTGAAAAGCCATCATAAAGACTAGAAAAAAGCACTTGCGGATTTTAGCCAATCACTTTTTTTATCTTTTTTTTTCATAATTCTTCATTGTCCGCATTCCTGGGTGCATGGCAGGGGTGTGTCCTTTGCTTACATATTTTGTGCCCCTCTTTTATCTCAAAGTTGGGAGGTTTTGCAGTGGCCATGGCAAGATTAATTAAATTTTATTTTACATTACATAGAATACAGTATTATTGTTGACAATCAGTGAAAATATATTTTATGCATGCTTTTGATTTTGGATACACTGTTCACTAGAAAAAGGGCCGTTTCACATTGTTTCCAGGTTGGAGAAGCCTAAACATTCTTTGACTGAGCTGCATATGGCAAAGTTTGATACCAGGGGTGTAAATACATAGCAAAACTTTGGGCCCCCCTCAGCTAACTCTCTGTAGTGGGTGGCAGTGTCAACTGTGACACTACGTGTCATTGATCTTAACATGAAGTATGTGTATCAAGGACAGGCAGCAGGAGAGCGGACGGCATGGTCAGTAGGGAGCAGTGCTGGGGGTAAAAGTTATAGTAGCACTAATAATAACAACCATAATGATACTTTATATTATGATAAAATGATTAATGCTCTTTGACACACTTACTCTTCAACCCTAATGCAAAGTTCTTTAAACTCTCGCTTCATTAAACTTTTTTTGTAGAACCACAAACCTTAGGCCTCTATATCGTTTGAACAGAGGTGACACTCTGGGATTTGTGACTGCATTAGGCATATAGTGTAATTTCAGTCTGTAACAGAAGTTCAGAGGACAATAAATCTGCAATGCTAAAATAGATAAGCCAATGCTGCTTTCTGCACAGAGAGGGGATCTGTGACTAGAAGATCCTAAAGGGTCTAACTTCAGCCCTTCCATACTGGAAACCTCAGTTTAGTTTTCCTAATCAGTCTCCCTAATGGGGCCCCCTAGTATCCCAGGCCCCATAGCAGCTGCATGGGTTGCTATGGCTATTGTTATGCAACTGTATGTACCATTGGCCTCATTGATAAGATTGGTTAAACATGAAACACAGACCTCTACAGATGAGGCTTGGTCAACAATGCCAGTTTTTTTCTCTTGTTGCCTCTGGTTAGTTTGACAACCACTTAAATTAATTCCTAAATTTAGAGCAATCAATGCTATAACTGATAGACCCCCAACTATATTTGATTATTGCATGTTGAAAGTTACATTTGCCCTATTAAATAAGCCCATGTGTTTTATATTTACTTATTTTGAAAAAAATATATAATCTAATGTAGGGCTGCAGCTAACGATTATTTTCATAATCGATTAGTTGGCCAATTTATTAAGTTCGATTAATCGGATATCCTATTCCACCACTATATCCCCGCACACCTGTTCCACACTGCAGCTCCGTACAGCTATTCCACCACTGACTTGCTTTCAGAATGTGGGCCCTCGATTGTCAGCGGGCCAGGGACGGGTGAGGGAGATCACGCCGAGGAGAGCAGCGGCGTGCGCGGCTTCAGCGTGCGGTGGGCGTGGCTTACGCGGCCTGTGCCGTGGGCACGGCGGCCGCAACGGGAGCAGCGTGTGACGTGTGGCTCAGGCCGCATGTGGAGCCCCGAACAGGCAAATCAATCAATAGCCGACGAATCGACGATCGAAAACGTTGCCAGCGTTTTCAATTGTCGATTTTAATCGACTAAATCGATTAACTGTTGCAGCTCTAATCTAATGTTATGCTATGCTTTAGAAAGAGCATTTTATGTACACCTAGTATATTACATTAGTTATGTCTGCACTGTAACACCTTGTCACCCGTATTCATTTATGTGGCAGCACGCAGGTGGGCCTTACTCTGTGCTGACACCTACTGTATATTTGTCACTGTTTTGTGCTCAGTGCACGTCCCCAGCACTGTGACCGCACTCTTGACAGTGCCGTCAGTGACAGCTCCTGGTCTTTTAGACATGATCAGGAGCTAGTAGGACAGGCTCCTGATCAGATGATCTTTGTGACAGACATCTGGTAATCATATGATTGGGAAGCTCATGAAATGCCTCCTCTTGGTTCAGCCATTAAAATTTATTTTAACGGCAGGTGGAAAGGGGTTAACATACATATGCAAAGCCTACATTGCTTTTTATGCAGATGGGAAAGACTGTGAGGATATTTACATATTTGGCAATGGAGGTATTATATCACGTATATCAATGGATATTATATCACTCAGTAGGTCTTAGATGAAGTACAATTTATATAAAGGAACTATTTGGATGCCATTTGGCTACTGCTTGGGATCTGATATTTTAAAGTCATAACCTTACATTAACTTGGAAATGAAGATAACTATCCAACAGCAACACAGACACAAATAAAAATACTTGTCTTTAGCAGCGTAAGAGAAGGCTGAAACCCCTATCAGATTTTTATTTTTGTCTCCTGCCCTGTTGCAGGTTTTCCCTCACTTCCTGTCTCATGAAAGTGTTGTCAGCAGGACAGGAAATAAGCGGATACCCAAATAGTAGTAACACCTTACAGGCAGTCTTATGGTTACCTACTCTATTTAAAACTAGAAAAAAAATTTTGTACACTTTTAAAGGAGAGCTTCAGACATCCCTTTTGTTAACCTGGCTTGCAAGTCTAATATTCAGTAGATTTTTGTTTGAGCTCCCCATTATGGGAAAACATTTTAGTGTTTCCTGAGGTCCTGATCATTATGCTTCTGTACTGAGGTTAGTGTACAATTTATCAACTGCTGCACCTTGTGACTATGCATATGTATGATTAGCCATGTGGTAGAGTAGATGACTTTCAATTACAAAAAGACAACTGCTAAGGCTCAACATAGGCCTATACTCAAATGCAGTGGTGTAAGCGGAGTATCATTTTTTGGGGGTGATACTGGGTATGTGCCCATGCTCTTGGTGTTTACTATTTTTATCTCCTGTGTGTCTCCGGTGTTATACAGTTTCTCACACACACACACACACCTAATATGAGCTTGTTCTACACCCAATTCCAAAACCAAGGGCATTAAAGGTGGAGTTGGACCACCACAGGTGACACTCTTATGAAAGGCTCTTCATGAGATTTTGGTCTATGTCTAGGCATTTGTGCCAGTTGTCATTCCTTCTTTTGTATGAGGGTTGGACAATATTAAAATTATTGGCTCTGATGACAATTTCATATTTATAAGGACTGTATGAATTGGAAACCAAAAGTACTGCATATTTAAATATGAACCTACACACGAACAGAAAGTGTTTTCTAGCTGTTTGAATAGATTTTGATAGATGTTTGAATGATTCTGTAATACATCAAGTTGATGATATCCTATTTTTTGTGTCCCATTTGTGTAAATGATTTAGAACATTTTTTTGCCTGAGTATGAAACTCGAAGTAGATCTGCTTAAATATATCCCCAGTGTTCATGAAAAATCAGCTGTGTACTGTATATATTACAGACCTGCAGTTGTATCTAGAGTGCTAGTAACATTGCAAGCTCCATATTATTAGACTGTTACCCGTACTTGAAAAGAAGATGTTCAGTTAAAGTTCACTTCCCCCTCCATTTAAAAAAGAAAATCAAAATACCAACATGGTGATGCATCCCCAAGAGGTGTATCTGAGATAGCCTGGTGTCACAGAATGGCCATCATTCAAGCTGGGAGAGGGTCGGTGGCATTCAGCAAAACAATTTCTGTGGGAAATGGCACTGAAGATATTTTGTGTATATTGCAGCAAGAGCTGCTTTTTTATTTTCCAACAGTCCTGGCTATTTCATTTTTTTTGCTTAGAAGTAATCCTGGGCAGTTCAAATGACATACAAGAAAACAATACATAACCAAAGGTTGCATTCAGTGATAACTCCATTCCAAGATGAACATTAGATTAGTAAATGTTTTCCTGTTGCT